GTGTCCCCACCGGGAGCCGCGGCGCGGAGCGCAGGTACGGGAGGGGATGCGGTGCGGGCCGAGAGCGGGGGCGGGGATGCGGACTGGGAGCTGCTCGCCCCGGGAGAGGGCCGGGGGTGAGGGATGGGGGGTTCCTCACCGCCGACAGAGCCAGTGTCCAGAGCAGTCCCCACCCCGGGGGTTCCAGGGAACCGGCACATGCCGTGAGAGCCAAGGATGCGCTCGTGAGCTACCCCCTCACGCCGGTGCCCTCCCCGGCAGCGGTGTGCCCTCTAGAAACGGGGGCTGGGATGAGGGCGAGTGCCAGCGCCGGTGGCACCGACCTGGGGTTGGAGTTCGGCCTGGGTAGGGTCCTGCTCCCCTGACCCTGCTCCCCCACTGAGCCCCTGGGGCTCACCGGGACACTGACTGTGGGGTGCAGGAGGGCCAGGACCCCACCCGTGGGAGCCATCAGGCCCAGGACCTGCCCCCAGCCCTGGCTGACAGCATCTTCCCTCAGCCCAGGCAGCCCCCCGCACCCCTCCGGGAGCCATGGCCCAGCCGGGCAGTGAGCTGGGGTCCCCGCCGGTGGCACCCACATCCCCTGAGCTGGAGTGCCAGATCTGCTACAGCCACTTCGATGCCCGCACCTGCAGGCCCAAACTGCTCCACTGTGGCCATCGCCTCTGCACCCGCTGCCTGCGCAGGATGGTGTCTCCAGGCGATGCATTGACCCCCCAGCTCCGCTGCCCCTTCTGCCGCCAGCACAGCCCAGTGCCCGGCGGGGACGTGCAGCAGCTGCAGGATGATGGTGAGGCACTGGCACTGCTGACAGGCCGTGAACGGGCCAAGAAGAGGGGTCCACCCCGAWCCCCGGAGGTCCTCCTTTGCCCTGGCGTGCTGGAGCCCACATCCAGTCCCGACTGCCTGGTTGTCACCATCCTGGAGGTGCCGGAGGACGTGGCCCCACCGGAGAGCCTGGGCAGGCTGGAGGTGGTGCGGCTGTATCGCCCCACCAGCCTGGGTGTGCTGCCCTGCCACGGCCCTGGGCAGAAGTGCCGCGCCTGGGGGTGGCGAGCCGTCCCCCGCTTCATCCTGGGTGTCCTCTGCCTCCTTTACTTCAGCTCCCTGCCCTTTGGCATCTACCTCCTGCTCATTGAGCACCACAGCCTGGGCATCATCCTGGTCAGCCTTGTGCCCTCCACCCTCCTCCTCTGCATTGTCTACAGCCTCTGCCAGTGCCTGTGCCTGGAGGTCTTTGGGTTCCCCCACTCCTGACCCTGCCAGGCCAACCTCTGTGCCTGTGCCAAGGAGGGTTTGGGTTCCTTGGAGTGTTATCCCTTGGGGTACAGGTGTTCCCTGATCCACAGCATGCCCTGCCTGGACCACAGGGAGAAGCTCAGCGCCTGGTGCCTTCCCATGCAGAACAGCACTGGAATTTCCATGTGGCAGCCCACATCTGAGTGGCTGCAGGAGCTCATTGCAGCCTACAAGCATTTGGGCTGGACCCTCAGCTCCTCATCCTCCTCTTCCACAGCAGACAAAGAGCAGGAGCTGGGCTGAGAGCAGAGCAGCAGCCGGGAGACTAATCCCAACTGAGGCAGGCGAGTGCTGGGCGCTGAGCGCCGCGGCCGGAGGGGCCCCGGCAGGAGAGGGACGGGCAGAGCCCGAGGGCTCCTGCGGCCGGACCGGCCCCAGCACGGCTCCGTGTCCATAGTGTAAATAGTTCTGTCCGTGGCGCCCACGCTCCTGGCGGGGCTGCTCCCCTCGCATCCGTGTTCTTTTCCCATGTGTGAGTCCCGTGTTTGCCGACACTGTGTCCTGGAGAGGAAAGGAGCAGAGGAGAGGAATTTCTTTGGTGTGTAAAGACGTCTTTGCAGCTGTTTTGTAGTCGTTGTGGTTTTTATGCGAAGCCTCTGGGCTTTATTTAACCTCCTTGGGTTTTGTTTTGTAAGGATTAATTTAACACCGCTAACCATTTTATTACTTTTATCAAGAAGAGCAAAGTCTATTTTTGATTTCTGTTTCCTAGTTCTTAGGAACATTAAAACCAGCATACAGCTCTGCCTGTGTCCATCCCTTTTCTTCTCTGCTATCTAGGGTCCGTGTTCACCCCCCGTCCAGCCTCTGCCTGGGTGGAAGGTAGAAAAACATCGGGTTTTGTTTTTTTCAGGACTGTCTGGCATCTGCCCTGTTCTGTACAGCCGTGACCTGGTGAGTTTTGTTTCCTAAAGACCAGTGAGCCCCTAAAGCAGCTCCTGGCTCTTGGCTGCTCCGGTGTGATTTTGGTGCTCTCCCCTCAGAGAAGTGCAGGCAGCTGGACTGACCTTGGACTACTCGGGGCAGCACAGCCGATCTCTGGTGGGGTACCACAGCAGTGCCAGTGCCACAGCAGTGCCAGTGCCACAGCAGCGCTGGTGCTGGTGCAGGAGCAGTGCCAGTGCCACTCTAGGGTGGGCAAGAATTGCCCAGCCCCACACGCTACCTGCTCCCAGGGGCTCCACAGCTCTCCAAAGATGCTTTTGACAGAGGCAAGGAGATCTTTGATGTCCTTTAAGGACACTCAAGACAGCTGGGAACGCTGGCTGCAGAAGTAGCAGTTTGTAAAGCCTTTTTTTCCCTTTTGTTCATTGTTTTGAGGCAAGACTGACTGTTCCCGAGACCCAGGTGAGCAGAGATGTGCTGATTCTGGGAGTGTCCTTAACCCACCCCTTGGTCAGTCAGTCTACACAGAGCCCTTTACTGCTCCCTCAGATGAGGGACCGTTACCTGGTTAAGGATCCAACAGCTGTGGTGCCACAGGAAACGTGTAAGTGGCATCAGTGGCCAGAAGCCACTGGCATGGCTGCTTCTAGAACATGTGCTTTATCCAAACAGAGCAGGAGAGCTGTGCAAGGGGCAGCTGAAGTGGGCAGTTGGGAGTGGTGGGGGGTACAGTTGGGGGTGGCAGGGCTGGGGGAACAAGGCACACCAGGAGCTGGACCCCTGGCATAAAAGCTCTCAGACTGTGCCAAACGTGGATGATTGAACTGAAAGGCCCTTGTTAACTGTGCCCCCGTGGTGCTCGGTGCTGCTGCTGTTCTGCCTGGCAGGAGGGACAGAGGTGTGGGGAGGTCCCTGAGTGCTCCTGTCCCTCGGGGCTGCTGGAAACCTGTAAGGGCAGCAGCCTGGCACGGATCTGACCGGGCTGGGGAGACACAACCTGCAGAGTGGGATGTGCCCGGGGCTCGGCCGTGCCCAGCCCGAACCTGTCAAGTGCTGCGTCCCCCAGTGCCCCCAGGGGGTGCCGGACTCCAGGGGCAGCTGCCGCAGTCCCCAGGCTGCGAAGGAGCATCCTCAAGGCTGACCAGAAAGGGAGGACCGCGGCGTGCAGGGAGCTGCGCCTATCCCACACCGAACGCCGCACCGACCGCTGCATAGACCCCTGCATCGTCCTCCCGCAGCCCGGCGGGGCCCGG